ATGGTGTAAGGCCGAAAAGAGAAACAGGTATGATGAAATCTAATGGAGACTACTGAAGTTCCACAAAGGGTGAAAACTGACCGAGAATAAACTAATAAATAATGTGATAATGATTGGGTGAGCACGAAAGATCCAATTGAATCCAAAAGAATTTTCTCAGTTACAATTTTTTTCTTCTGAGAATTGTTCGTATTCTGCCAAACCTTGTTAATTTGTAGTTCGACTTGCATCACCTCGTAAAGAAGCAACAAATAGAATTACCAAACTGTCTCTTCAGAATGTGGCTGATGAAGGAGAGACAAGATAACAGTACTTCTAAAGAAGATAATGGTAAAATGAAAAGTTGCAAAGGTAAATGGGAAAAATTAGAAATAGGGAAGTGAAATGAACCACAATCCCATTCTTCTACTGAACCTTGTACAAGTGGTTCTGACACAGAAGAAATTCCTATTACACAGTTTCAGTATTCCACCTTTATCACACAGGACTCCCAATCAAAGAACGGTACAGGTGAGACAAATAACGCCGTGAACACGAAGTATAACGCTTCCAATACAAAATGTAATGTAGAAATGCCCTCAACCACCACCACAACAGCTCTTCCTGTATCCGCAGGTACTAATGAGAACGAGAAGAAACCAAATTTAAGGAGTGATGCAGACAGCAGCAGTATCTGCAGTTCTGTGTGGGTGCGTGTACCACTACTGATTGTGGTTACACTGGCCTGTATTCTTGTGTGCTGATTATTGTAATGGTGGTGGTGTGGTGTGACTGAGGTCATCCTTTGTTTTCTTTTTTGGATGTATCCCTACAGTCTAACTAATCTTCCACCTGTTGGGATTTTTTTTGTTTCTTAATGTTAATGTGTTTTGTGTGTTTTTTTGCTCTCTGTGTTTATCATATAATAATTATTATTGCTACTCCATTGTGTGTGTGTGTTGTTGGAGACTCTCTCTGTGTGTGCACCTGGGCTTGCACTATGATGATGATAAACTGTTTTTTGCAGTGAGAGGAAAATGAAATAATAATAACAGATGAATTTATATTTATAATTGGCTATATATACATATATAGACTTACACCCATAGTTGGTGTATATTTCTCTCTTTACTGGGTAAGATGGGCTAATGGTTAATATATGATTCTTTGTTTGTTTATTGTTTGCTGGGTCGTTGTGCCTTTTTTGAGATATTTGTGAGTGTGGGCTTTTGTTTTTGCTTTTACTCTTAATGAGGTTATTGCGCTTTATTGCATTCTTTAACTGGTAGGTTTTACTTTCACGATGTGAGTTTCTTTGTGGTTTACTATTAATGTCCTGTATCCACTCACTATGTATGTATCTTTCTTTGTCTCTTCCTTCTTGTTTCTCTTTTCCACACTCCCTGTGTAGACCTGTGAACTCCAGTGACGAGAACAACAAGAAGAAGAGTGACGATGACCGTTATGATGATGACGCGCCGTGTGTTTTGTCTTTTGACTTTGCTGCTAAGTGTGGCATGTGTTTCTGCGGTGGTTGAAGGGACTACTGCTCAGCCTTCTCAGACTACTGTTCTTGGGACAGCAGCAGCTTCACTTGGTCAGTCTTCTCAGTCTCCTCAGACTTCTGGTCCTGTTCCTGGGGCTGCTGGGTTACGACAGAATACCGATCCTCATGGTGTTGGTCAACCTGGTGTTCCTGTACCTCCTCTTGGTACTTCTCATTCTCCTGGTGCTTTGCCTCCTCAGACCGTATTCCCTGGTTCTGGTTCTGTTTCTGCACATCCTGCTACCGGTCTTATACCACCATCACTAATACCACCATAATTAGAAGTGCCACAACCAGGAAGTAATAGTGGTGGTGATGATGCTTGTGCTAATGGTGGTTCTTTTGAAGACTATTTGAAATGTACTCAGAAACAAAACGGAGCTAATCATCCTGCAGCTGGGAATGGTACTGTTGCAGGCCCTGTTTCTCGTCCTCTACAGCCTGGAAATAGTGTGGATGGAACTGGACGTGGTACTTCACAAGACCCCGAACAGAGTGAGCCCAGCAATGCAACGGCGGAAAATACATCTAACCAGGAAAGTTCAGGCACAGAATCCTCTTCTTCAACATCTGCTGAAACTCCTGCCACACCTTCACAGAACAATGGGGAGTCAAAAGGACCTGAAACTGAAAATGCTGGGAATGAAAGTACATCTTCAGAGAGTAATTCATCAAGCAGCCAAGGTGATTTGAGAAATACAGACACCAACACCACCAATTCAATTCCTCCTGTACCTGCAGGGAACAAAATACCAAATTTAATGGGTGATGCAGACAGCAGCAGCAGTATCAGCAGTTCTGTATGGATGCGTGTGCCACTACTGATTGTGGTTACACTGGCCTGTATTCTTGTGTGCTAATTGTAGTGGTGATGGTGGTGTGACTCAGGTCATCCTTTGTTTTCTTTTTTGCATGCATCCCTACAGTCTAACTAATCTTCCACCTGTTGGGATTCTTTCTACTGTTTTTTTGTTTCTTAATTTTATTGTGTTTTGTGTGTTTTTCGCTATCTGCGTTTATCCTATAATAATTATTATTGCTACTCCATTGTGTGTGTGTGTTATTGGAGACTCTCTGCGTGCGTGTGCACCTGGGCTTGCACTGTGATAATGATGATGAACTGCTTTTTGCAAAGTGAAAAGAAAAGGAAATAATAATAACAGATGAATTTATATTTATAATTGCGTATATAGACATATATAGACTTACACCCATAGTTGGTGTATATTTCTATGTTTACTGGGTAAGATGGGCTAATGCTAAAAACATGATTCTTTCTTTTTTTTTTCTTTAGTGTGCTTGGGTACTGTGTGTTTTGCCCTGCACGGTTTTTGGTGTTCTGCTTTATGCAGAGCAAAGAAAATAATAGTAATAAATACAATTGGTATTTTTAAGTGCTTGAACAGACCAGCATACCCAGTTGTCTGTGAGTTATTTTTGTGCGGTTGATGCGTCTCTCAATTTGTGTTTTTTTTTTTTCATTTTTTTTTCTTGGGCGCTGTGTGCTTTTTCCTGCATTGTTGTGTGTTGGAGTGTTTTGTGTAGGGAGAAAAAATAATAAGGGATACATATATATATATATTTGTAATTGTGCTTGGTTTGAACAGAAGAGGCATTTTGATGTATTTCTGTGCTTTATGATTCTGATGGTCGTTTTGTTTAATATCTTTTTTTTTCTTTTGAGGGGTTAATTGGGATTATGTGTTTGTTACTGGGTATTGTATGCGTTGTTCCTTTTATTTGGGCCAATATCTGATTTATGGTTGTAGTTTTCTGTTATGTGGGTGCTTCTGCTGTAATTATTGATTGTTGTTTGATTTGGTGTGTGTTTTCATTTTCTTGTTCTCATTGATTCACTTTTTTTTTGTTTTTCTATCTGGTTTTGTTTTCTTGTGTGTAAATGATTGAAGTAAGACTACTACAAGAAGTATTGTAATGGTAATGATGATGCGCTACGTGTTGTGTATCCTCGCTCTCCTGCTCTCCTGTGCGTGTGTGCACGTCCTCGCTGAAGAAGTGCCTGCCGCCGATCTTTCCGACCAAGTCCCTGATACGGAGAGTGAAAGAATACAATGTGAGACAGCATCTACTGAAGAGGCAAAGAAGAAACCGTGCGAAGTATCTCCCGCTCCTCCTTCAACTCCTGCTTCTCCTCGAGGTCCTGCTGGTGCTGCTGTTGAACCTTCATTGCCAGATCCTTCTGGAGAAAATGGTGCAAAGGCGACAAAAGGCAGAGAACCCGTGACTGAACAGAGTACGCATGCTCAGACACCGGCACAACCTGAAAGTACTCCAATCAGTGAAACCGTTCAACGTGAAGGTGAACAGAACAATTCAGGAGCAGAAGGACCACAGGGAAATCAAACTGGAGCACAACCCAATTCTTCTGCAGGACCCAGTACAGGTAATACAGACACTCAAGAAAACAGCAGGAGCCAAGAACTGACAACTGACACAAAGGATTCTCAACCAAACAATGATACAGTTGATACCAATAACTCAGAAACCATAAACTCTGACACTGTCAACACACCCAATAATAATGAGAAGTCAACCACTACCACCACAACAACAACAACTACACTTCCTCCTGAACTCACAAACAACAAGAAGGGTGATGCAGACAGCAGCAGCAGTATGAGCAGTTCTGTGTGGGTGCGTGTACCACTACTAATTATGGTTACTCTGGCCTGTATTCTTGTGTGCTAATTATTGTGGTGGTGGTGGTGGTGTGACTCAGGTCATCCTTTGTTTTCTTTTTTGGATGTATCCTTACAGTC